TGCTACTATTTTATGTTGTTATGTTTTGTCATTTCTGCAACAAACCTATTTTCATCTAATCAAAATAAACTGATTTGATGCTACCAAAACAGTCTTTCAGTGGATCCTAATCAAATCTTTTCAGTATGTTCCCTCCCTGGGAAATTTTGACGTTTTGTTCTGACTGGAGACAAGAAACAGATTTCAGATGTCAGAATTCGCCATAGAACGGAAATTTTCTGACCAGCTCTTTTGTGGGTCTTGGCATATAGAGTCAATCCAACCTCAAAAGAGTAACAGGCAATTTAATCAGGGCTGGGTGAACAAGTTGTAAAGAATAATTTATCTTATTAGGTTCACTCATATTTCTTGTTTACCTGTTATCTGCTAAGAGATTGTAACTAATTAATTTGTTGTTTTAAATTTTCTGAATAGTTGTAGTGAATAATCTTATCAGTAAAAATCCTGTAAGTTTAATAGTAAGTGATAACTTCTTTATTTTAAAAAAATCATTATCTAGAATTCAAAGAGAATTATACCCGTCATAAAATTTTATAGATTGGTTCAGGGACATCTCTAGGAAGAAAGAAAATTACCTGTTATTGAATTCTATAGGTGTTCCTGTTTTCATACCTATATTTTAATAATACATTTTACTAAAGTTATGTACTCTAAGGATGCTCTTGATTTTCAGCTAAAAGTTCAGAGCAATTCCATTAAATATGTTTAATACCCAGAACTCAGTTTTGTAGGTCATATATAGTGCATTTCTGTCTCCTGACTGGATGATTTTAATCTTCCAGACATATTTATGATGTGGCTGCTCAGATATAAATGCAAATTCCTGCCTCTTTCCATCAGTGTTCTTAGAGAAGTTACTTAAAATGTTGAGTAGTTCAGGGAATGTTTCTATCTGTTATACCATATTGGCTGAAAGTGAAACTTACAGAGGTTTTGCTTTGTTTCTTCCAATTTATTCCAGTGTCAGTTTTGGAAAATATATTTGAGTTGCTGTAATTCATCAAAGCCCAAAGAAAGTTCAAGTCCTTTACTGAATATAGAAGCAGTCTAGTTTCAGGTGACATGGACAAGGCTGAGTGTAGGGCTAGGATTCAGAGTGACCTCAACAAATTGGAGGTTCAACGAGGACACATGCAAAGTTCTGCACTTAGGATGGGACAGTTCATGCACCAGTACAGGCTGGAGGCTGACTGGCTGGGCAACAGCTCTGCAGAAAAGGACCTGGGGGTTATAGTGGACAATAAACTGAATATGAACCAACAGTGTGCTTTCGTTGCCAAGAAGACTAATGGCATACTGGGCTGCATTGGTGGGAGTTTGCCAGGAGGTCAAGAGAAGTGATTATTCTCCTCTATTCAAGACTGGTGAGGCCACATCTGGAGTACTGTATTCAGTTTTGGGCCCCTCACTACAGAAAGGATGTGGGCAAATTGGAGAGAGTCCAGGAGAGGGCAACAAAAATGGTGAGGGGGATGGGGCACATGGCATGTGAGGAAAGGCTGAGGGAACTGGGCTTATTTAGTTTTCAGAAGAGAAGACTTAGAGGGGATTTAATATCAGCCTTCAACTACCTGAAGGGGGGTTCAAAAGACGATGGAGCTAGACTGTTCTCAGTGGTGACAGGTGACAGAACAAGGAGCAATGGTCTCAAGTTGCAGCAACAGAAGTTTAGGTTAGATACTAGGAACAACTTTCTCACTAGGAGGGTAGTAAAACACTGGAAGAGGTTACCCAGAGAGTTTGTGGATTCTCCATCCTTGGAAGTTTTTAAGACCCAGCTTGACAAAGCCTTAGCTGGGATGATCTAGTTGGGGAGGGTCCTGCTTTGAGCAGGGGGTTGGACTAGATGACCTCCAAAGGTCTCTTCCAACCCTAATTTTCTATGATTCTATGATTTTAATGCCTTTTTAGTTTAGTCTTCATGAATAATGTCAGCCACAAGATTGAAGTTGACAACAAAGATGGGAAAGTGGTGAACACTCTAGAGTAGAGGAAGAATACATTAGGATTTACCTAGAGAAACTAGATATGAATGTTTGATCAATCTGATTTCCTTCAATGATAGGATTACAGGCTCTGTGGATGGAGGGAGAGCTGTGGATGTCAAATACCTTGATTTTAACAAGGATTTTGACATTGTCTCCCACAACATTTTCATTAATAAGCTAAGGAAATACTGACTAAATGAAAGATGGATAGGATCATCATGCCCAACAAATAGCCATATCCTGGAGTTCCCAGGGGGCCTGATCTGTGTTTGGCATTATTTTACAGCTTCACTAATGATTTGCAAATTTGAAGAAGACATCAAGTTGGGTAGAGTTGCATACTCTCTGGAGAGTAGGGGGTAGGATCCAGAATAAACTGAAAAATGGTCCACAGTGGATCAGTTTAAATTCAACAAGGACAAGAGCAAAGTCCTGCACTTAGGCTAATAATAATTGTGTTCACAAATACAGGCTGGGGAAAAAGTGGCTAGGCTGCAGTACTGCAGAGATGGGCCTGGAGCTCACAATAGACCATAAGCTGAATATGAGCCCAAAACAAAAAACATTAAAAAAAGCCAACAACATGCTGGGTTATATCAACAGAGTGTCATTTGCAAATCAAGGGGAGTGATTCTTCTACTTTGTTCAGCACTGATAAGGTGTCATCTGGAGTAGTGCATCTGGTTTTGGGTTCCACAATTCAAGGAAGACGACAGAGTGGAAAGAGTCCAGCAAAGAGTAACAAAAATTATTAGCAGGCTGGAAAACATGACTTAGGGGGAAAGGCTGAAAGAACTAGGTTTATTTAGTCTGGAGAAAAGAGGACTGCGGGATAATTTGATAACAGAAAATAGAAATATTCTATTCTTGGTAGCCATAAGGTGCAGGACTAGGAGCAGTTGCTTCAACCCACAAGAGGAAATTTAGGTTGGAGATTAGGAGGAACTTTCTGACTACGAGGGCGGTCAAACAGTGGAACAGGTTGCCTAGAGAGGCGGTGGTATCTCCATCAACGGAATTTTTCAAGAGCAGGTTAGTAAGACACTTGACTGGGATGGTTAAGTTAGGGATGACTCTGCCTTGAATAGGGTCTGAACTAAATAACTTTGTGAAATTCCATCCAGCCCTATTTTGCTATGATCTTATAAGGGCGTTCTTTTGAAAAAAAGTATAGGTTAAGGAGCTGCAGGCAGGAAACCACATGCAATGTGGGGATGATGGGAGGAGTGAGAGCACTTTCTAGATCCAAGAATCACTTCCAGATGAAGCCATTTAAATATGGAGAAGCCTCTATATTTAAACTGACTTTGTTGTGAGCAGTATTGGGTCCATCTCTACCCTATCTATTGTGCTGTTGCATCTACCTCTCTGAGTTTGTTTGTTCCTTTTAAGTCTGGCTCAGGTTTAGGCAAGACTTTAGCTTCCTTCTGCTGCTGTTCCACTAACAACATTGGTTTAGACCCTATTCTTTTCTAATAAAAAAAACATGGTACTTCACTCCTCTTTTGTGGCAGCTTATTCACATGGTAGAAAAGGGATTCTGTTACATCTTTAACCTAACAGAACCCATTCTTTTAGCTCAAGTAGTAGAGGCTGATACATGAAGAGTCAGAAGTCCCAGGTGGGTTCATCAGTGATGACCATCCATCCAAATCATTCAGAGTTACAAGTGGTTCCTAGCTCCATTCCCAAACCAGCTGCTTCACAGGCCAGTTCAAGAACCAGTCAAACATGGCTGCAAAGTCAAATGCTGCTGCATGCAGTTCCTTGCCTGAAGAAGGGTGTGTGGAGGAGAACAGAGTCTTTTACTGCATCACTAGGTCACTACACAGGATAATCATACCCACCGCACTCTTATGCTATACTTTCTCATATCCTTTTCCTTCATACCTGTCTTCCTCTCCTCTTTGATGCCTTTGGCTTGGTCTGGAAGTGATTCTTGGATCTAGAAAGTGCTCTCACTCCTCCCATCACCCTGATATTGGATTCAACTTTCTCCCAGGTACACTGTCATGGAAGACAGCTAGCTCAAGATACATACTCTGTGAAGTTGGGCTGCTTTGGCTAGAGTGAACTTTTCTTCAATGAGCAAAAACTGAAGTGTCCAGTAATGGGATGGAACAGGCTGTCCTTAAGGCTAGGGACAGAAATTACATATGAACCAGTATAAGTGATCAGAAACCAGTTCAAATCTGAACACAACAGAAATTCAGTACACATAAACCACTTTCAAAATGGCTGAAGCAGGTTTAAGATAAACTTGGATGGATGTAGTATCAGACTTAACTGATTTAGGTTAAATTGGTTTATTGAACTGCTGTCCCAAATCCCCTCTAGATTCAAGTTAATTCACAGTCCCCCAGCATCCCAGGATGCTTTGCACCTCCCCTGCAAGCCCCCACTTTCAGGGTGGGCGGGCTAGCCTTGGCTCAAGCTGTCTGCTCCAGCCAAGCAGGGAGGTGTGCTCTAGCGCCCTCAGCTTCTAACATGAGCCACTGCAGGTATGTGGTTGCATGTGGTATGTGGCAAATCCTGAGACAGATTTTGACAGCTTGCAGACATGTATAAATGTAACTTAGAAACCCAGCAAAGATATACCAAAAAACAAACAACCCTCAAACCCTAGATCTCAGATCTATCATCTGGCAGAGCCATATTAGAAGAGCTTATAGAATATAGCATTAATGTTTAGGGTTTTTTGTGTTATTTCTCAGATTTCTTTTTCAATACAATGGATTGGTTCTGGTTTCCCAAGTGTCCTGTGGAACATGAAATTCTCCTGCCTTGTGCTCAACCTCCAATTAACCCACGCACCCACCCACACCCACCCATGCACACACCCGTACACACGCACACGCGCGTGCAAAAGGACTATATAGGTTCTTAATGTTTTGCTTTAATCTTTATTAAAAACCTAATTAAAATTTGAAACTGTTTGTCTCCTTTTCCTTCCTCTTCAACTTTTATTCAGGAAGGAACCTGTGGAGATCCTATTTAGAGGCATTGACTTACATCGGTAGTTGTCTGTGTTCCAGAGTTCTCCAAGAAACCTGGACTAATTGCAGGAGTGACTGCTTTGTCTTGAGGATGTGCAGGTGCTGGTGAGTTGAAAAGAAAAGTGATTACTGGCAAAAACAAAGACAAGAGGAAGAAAACAAAACATCTACATCCAAACCTGTGCACCTGCTAAATGTCTCCTGTGAGTAGCGTCAAATCTTACCAGAAGCACTGGAATACTGCAATCCCATATACAAAAGCTAAGCAAGTGCTTAAGTGCTCCACCAAATACGAATGGATTTAAGCTCATGCTTAACATTAAGTGTAAATTCTTTGGCTGAATTATGGCCAGGGATACTCAGCTTCCCAGATGAGGTCCTTAACGTTTTGGAAAGGCAATCCCATGCTTTGGCACTTTGCAGTTGTTTTTAATTGATGGATGAACATGACAAAGGATACCATGTATAGCACACAGTAAGGTTTAACTGAACTTTTCTAAGTTCAGTTGTATGAAGTTAGGTTACAAAGGCCACAAACAGGTGTTCATTTCCTAGAAAGGATATCAGGAGAGAGAGCAGTGGAGGTAGTCAGCCTGTACCTACCACCTCTCTCCTGTTCCTCATGCCTGCCCAAAACTGGGTGATCCTGGTCCAGGGTAGGCTTGGGAAGCAACAGCTAATCTAGTCCTCTCATTCCTGGAAAGACTGGGTGATCCTGGTCTTGGGGAGCAGTGGCTAATCCAGTTTTCCCATTGTTGGGAAGAATAGTGTGGCAAGGAAAGACTCCCTGTGTTTTCCCCAGACTGGGACCACCCAGATTTAGGAATGGGTACTCCCCTCCCTTCCTGTAGACCTGTCTGGGTTGGGACTAGAGCAGCAGGGCCAAGTTCCTACCTGCTTCTCTTCTCAGCTCCTAGTGGCCAGGAGCTAAGCTAAATGAGCAGCACAGCAAACCCCTTGTCCACTCCTCAGACCAGGGACCCAGATTGGGGAAGCAGGGACCAGCAGCTTGAGGAAGGTAGGGAGGCTTTTTCCTGTTGCTCCAGCCCCTTCCTGGACCAGCCCAGGTTGGGGGTCTGGAGCAAACAGTGCAATGTTCCCTGACCCTTCTCTTGACCGGGCAGTGTCTGGTTTGGGAAAGTGTGGGGAGCATTGCCCCACTTTTTCACTCACCTCCCAGACCAGAGCAGGAGGGGAGCACACAAATGTTTGCTCTTGTAAGAGGGTTTCTCTTGCAAGGGAGAATTTCTGGGTTTCCTCTGGGAGAAATTAAATGAATGCTTGAACACTCATAGTTTCTACTGGGGGAGTGAGAAAATGTAATGTCTGTATGTGGCCAAAGTCTACTGCTTACATTGAATTCTGAAGCAGTAAAGAATCTAGTTGTTGTTTTAAAGCCCATTTCATTTTTGGAAATGCAAGTACTTAACTTGGTTTTTCTTCTTATTTCCCCTCTTACAACATTAAGAAATGAAGCTTTGTTCTATGTATAATTCTGCACAGTTGAAACTGTTAGCATAAATTGATATCAGGCAAAGGAAATTGCCATGTTCTTTGTGAAAAATAATCCATTCTTCATCAGTTCCAATATACCCTGGTTACCACCCTGTTCTACCAACTGAATACCTAAGATCTCCCTCACCCTCCATAAATAAAGTATCCCATATCCTTTCCATTCTAAAAAAACAAAACAAAACAAAAAAACCCTGTGTTTTACAACCCATTGGCTTCTTAATTCTGGCAAAAAATCCCTTCTGGAGGAGACTGTCCAAAAAACTGATTCTCTTGCTCTGAGCTAGGTTCCAATTAGTAAAAGGAACAGTGCCAGACCAATGCCAAGAGCATTATTGCATGGATAAATGTGCTCACAAATTAAGTCATTTAAGCACATACAATATAGCACATACAAAAATCACAGTTTTCTTTTGCTGTATGTGTTTCCAAATGCAAATGAGCTGTGTGCAGGTAAATATATATGCAGAATCTCAGAAATCTGGGCCTCGCTAGTTAAGACCTCAAGTAGATATGAAAGTTACCTTCACGCAGCTGCCTATTTAATAGTGGGTAAGTATTATGTTATATAATAGCCTTCCTGGGGCAGAGACCTTGAGTGCAATTGCCATCACACTGAAGTCCCTCTGCAAGTATTCCTATTGATTTCAGTGGGGTCAGCATTTCACCTTTTCTCTTTTCATTTGTCTCTCAAATGCCATGTGCACTTCTGGCAATTCATTAAATGGTAAATGATTGTATCACTTGGTGAAGAAGACTTTCTGAATGGTCCTTTTAATTCTGTGGAAGCCATTTAAGTGACTTTGACTTAAAAATATCTAACAGACCTTTTCACATGCCAACTGGAGTATTTGGAGAAAGTGCATGGCTTCAGAATGATTAATGAAGAATCAACTTTCAGTGGTAGCTAAATTAATTTCTTTATCAAAGAAATTACTTTTTGCTACTAGCTAAAAGTGGGTTGACCTTCCAATCACGTTACACATACTAAAAGAAGTAGCACCAACTGATTTCTGAACAGTTCCTATCTGCAAGATCCAGTAAAGGTATTGCACTGTCTTACACTTGTGCCCGAAAGCTTGCAAAAAACTTTTTTCCAAGTACTCAGTTGGTCTAATAAAAGATATCACATCTACCCAAAGAAGCTTGCCTGCCTATGTCCTTAGAACAAAACGGCTACAACCAAAAACCTTACATTGTAAAGATATTACTCTGTGTGTGTGGTGTAGCCAAGAACATGTTGCTTCTCATTCAAGTTAAATCCAGTTGATGACTGCCTTTCATTGCTCAAGTAACAAAAAGTAATCAGAATAAATGCCTATTTGTTTTAACCTATTTTACTTTAAAAGCAGTATTAATCTGTAAGCATTACTTTTTTTGCTGAATTAAAGCTGTTTCTACCTCCCCAGATCTGTTCAGATCTTTAAAACGCTTTCAGTTTGGTTCTGCAGTAACAGCATGTTTTATTTAATAAGGTGATGGAGGAAGATTGGTTTAGTTACCAGGATTCTGTATGTTGGAGCAAAATACATATAAGGAATTATTGCTTTTGTGGCTTTTTCCTATTTGGCAAAATAGAAGAATAGTTTGAAGGTATGTATATACAGTGTAGGGCCCACCTAGACAGAGAGCTTTGAATGCAAATAGAAAAATATAAAGGCTCAGAGGGAGAAAGTGAGGATGATTTTGTGGTTCAAGCATTGGGATGACACTCTGGTTTCAATGCTGGTCCCTGCCACAGACTTGGGGAGTGTTCAGTCTTGGGCACAGACAGAAGTGCAGCTCCCCATTGTAAATTAGAATGCTTGGCAGGAATGGTTCTGTGTTACAACGATCCCCCGGACCAAACAGAAGTTCATCTGTTGGTTCCAGTGGGGAGGGGGGGGATCTAGCTGCTGGCTGTGAGCCTGCAGCCAGTTTCCTTAGCCACCTTCGCCCTGCCAGCCCCTGCTGTTTTCAGAATGGGGGGGGGGGAAAGGGAGTAGAGGGAGCTTATTCTAGGGGTTCCTGAGCCTGTGCTGGAGGGTGGAGTGGTGAAGTGGAACTCCTCTCCAATACACCTGCCCCACCCTCCAGCAGGGGCTGAAAAAACACCAGACCCAACTCCCTCCTCTCCCACCTCCCATTCTTTAAACAGCTTGGAGCCTGGCAGGCAGGCAAACACAAGTTAGAGAAGATGCTGTTTTGAAACATCTTCATCTGACCCCTCATGCAATGAGGGTTCAGATTTTCACCCAATCGGCCATTTTTAAGCTGCCTGCAGCTGTGTACTTGTGTTTGGTCATGGCTATAGTCTGCTTTCTGTGGCTGGATCAGGTGAAAATTGTCACTTCTGTCTGCACCCCCTGTGGCTGAACATCCTGGGTGTGGACAGACATAACACTTGAACTGTTTCAAGAATGTTGCTGATTGGGAACTAGTCCACAACTTTCCCAGGTCAGAGGTGTCCTCATGTACATTGCTAAGGGCTCCACGTAGAATGGTTGTCTGCAGGCATTGCAGTGTTGCTGAACCAGGCAGTGGTAGTGGGCACTCAGCTCTATTGCAATGTTCTGCTCCCCCTTCTCACTAACATGGAGGTCAGTAAACCCATTCCTACACATTACTAAAATCTGTGTGGTGGTACCTGGTTCCAAGTGCCTAGGTGTATGTCGAGACTGGGGGGCTGCTAGGGCCCCCAGGAGTGGGGTGCTCCAGAACTGCCACACCTTTCACCCAAGGCACTCATCAATTGACTTCAATTCCTGGAAACTGATCCAGGTTTGGTGCATCCAAGGTTAATTTGGGGCTGGAGTGGTGGACAGCTGGTGGGGCAGATCATTCTTGAAAAGTGGCAGAGAGCTGCCCTCAGACCCCATCCAGGGACACTGCGGTCAAATTCAGGCAATAGAGGTTGGGGTAGTGGAGTTCTGGCTGCATACCAGAGCAGCCAGTTGGGAGTTTAAAGAGAGAGAGAGAGTTTGGGGGAGCGGGGTACCTGACGAGCAGTGCAGTCTGGGATGTCTGGTGGATCAACCAAACATTAGTTATGGAAAACTTGGTACCCTCACATAACGCTGAACTGCCTCACAGGGAATTAGTTCAAAATAATACTGGATTATCCAGGTATACTTTTTAAATGGTCCAAGAGATTTAAAGTGGTTGAAACTGGCTTGTATGTCTGGATGCTTGAGAAATTCTGGCAAAATCGAGACATTTTCACAAATTATGTTAATGTTGATGGAACTGTGTGCCCTGGCAGAGCTGGCTTCCAAGGATTTCCTCTGAGCATTTCTATTCTGTTCCTCCTTTAAGAATAGCTCTTAGGAAGGGAACTAACTGATGAGCCCTGGTGTAAGAATATAGATGGAATATTTTTTTTCATCTTGTTGGCGTTACAAATATTTCACCTTTTTTCATTATAAGCTGTATTTGCATATATTTCTTCTGTGTATGGGATATACAACCTTGTAATGTGACTGTTTACAGTCTTGTCATTTTTAATATGGTAAAACATTTTATATGGTTTGGAGGAAATCACTTTCTGAAATCAAATTGCATTGTAGTTGTGTTTACTAACGTTTACAGAACAGATTGACCGCCTTGTCAGT